ATATGTGATCAATGCACTAATCTGACCCAAAAGATGGAGAAGTTACAGGTGGCCCAGACGGGGTTATCGTGGCTCCAAACAACTCCGGTGAAGGAACACAACCACTCAACGTCCCCGCCCTAGCTGGAGGTGTAGCTGGGGGAGTTGTGTTCTTGATATTGGCGGGGATCTTACTGGCTTGCCTCATCCGCCGCCGCCGCCGCCAAAAGCAGAAGGAAGCTGAAATCACAATCGAGACGAATTTGCAATACGGGGTGGATACTTCGGCTGACTCGCCAAACGTGCGAATGACTCACCGTCCCAGTATTGGGAGCACTCAATACATGTCGGGGTCGACCATCGCTCCGTTTATTACCCATGGTCCGCCATCGCGACCCCTTAAACTATATGTGAGTGGATCTGCTTCTGTGACAAGTCAAAGCTTAATTATGAAATGAAACGCAGAACCCTGACGACCCATCGACATGGCCGCACAACTACGATGTTGGATACCACAACACATCCCTCCCAACGTCGGGCTCTGACCCAAATACAAGTCTTCCGTTCTCCGATACCGACCATCACGATGGGGTACTCCCATCCTATACCGGACATAGCAGCTCTACAGCGGTGACGCGTGCGAGAACTACGACCGATTACGACAACCGATACCAGAACGTAGAGATCTGAGCTGTACCCGTGGATGACAATTTCTTGTTCCCAAAAAGACCCTCCATTTCCGACCCCCGATGTCTGAATACACTTGGTAGCGGAGAGCTGACGGAGATCATGGAACTTCGACATTTTTTGTCGAGGTTCGATCTGTGGTCGGCACGGTCATTCCCCGACAGGAACACAGAGGTAAGACGGAACCGGTAACTTGCGGAATGAACTGGCGATGTAAAGCTCTATCTATTGTATCAATTATTAGTATGTAGATAATAGTGAAGTAAATCGTGGTCTTCATAACTGTTTCATTATATAGGGAGCGGGACCCAATGTAGAACCGACCTCTACTGCCGAGCCAGCACCGGAATCTTGCTCGATTTCCATCCAGCTTCAGTCGTTTGAGGGGTATGTTCAGGAACTCTCAGGTCAAGCAATCTTTGCTCTGCTTCTGACCTTGAGTCGTTGACTTTCACCGCGGCCATCTCCTGTACCAACGCTTCCAGTTCCTCCTCAACCTCAGCATCACTAATATTCGCGTCAACGCCGAGGGCAATGTCCCCTCCGACCTTGATTGCTTCATCCACCTCATGGGCATCCGTATTTGCTTCTGCGAGTGCTTCCATAGTCTTTTCTATGTTCTCTCGTTGAAGGGATGGGTGTGCCAGGATAGCTTTGAGCGTTGCTGTTGATGATTGATAGGACTCCATAATCTTATGAAAATGGTCAACGAAACATTTGACGGCAAAATGGGTATGGCTTACTTCTCTGTCTTCCATCGCCGCCTCCACAGTCAGCAGGGTACTTTCCAATGTAGCATGTGAATTTAGGCGCTTGTCCAGAAGCTCGTGCAATTGCTTGCGTAGTCGAAGGTGGTTGAGGGCGATTGACTTGCGTCCTTGCTTCATCGATATCGAGGCTTCCCGAGTGCAGCTTGACAGGAGGGGTAAGATATCGAAAGATCATTCATTCGCATCCAACATACCGGTCAATCTTGTTCTGTAGGCTCTCCAACTGTTGAGCAAGGGACTCGACAACATTCTTAAGCTCCAAGACACCGCGGTCGACTGCAGTTATACTCCGTTCTTCCACATCTGCATCAGATTCTACAAATTTGATGACCTGTATACGACTCAGTATCAAGTTTTTTGGGGAAATGCAGACCACAACTTACATCCTTGTCGTATACCACCAGACCACGGTCCCTTTCCAGATACTTGAGAAGTACCTTGAGGTCTTGCTTGTCAATTTGATCGAACGAGTCATCGAGTACGTGTGCAAACGTCCGACTGAAGCACGGCCAAGTGTAAAGAGCATCTGCTGTGGTTGTCTCGCTATCCCGCTGAGCTTCCATGATTGCATCTGCAACCGTTTCCAACGATGGGATGAGAACGTAGTCGCCGTGCCATGCGGTGCTCTTGTTGCGTTCGCTGGTGCTGGAACCAAAGATTCCCTCGTCACCGACAACTCCGGCGTGTTCTAGTGCCCACCACAGCGGTTTGCCGACGACATAGGACACCAAACGGACAGGGAGCGAGCTAGTGGCGTAGATTGAAGCTTTGAGGTTCATGAATTCGGTAATGGGAATGAAGGATCGCAAACTATGCAGTTCAGTCTTCGCTAGTCAAAATAGGGTTGAAGACCTTGAGTTGACGAACGTCGGGAGACAACAACTTACGAGGACTGTCCCCAAAGCCAGTGGTTTTCCGACTTTTGGTATTTTGACGCGTTCCTGGAGCGTTGAGTTGGCATGCAGAATGACTCTACTGCCCGCAGACTCATTGCTGTCCTGTAAGCCGTAGGTTACAACGGTCTCCAGTGCGTTCTTCCACCACTCGACATTTGCCTGGAACGAAACAGGATTTGAATGCTTCTGACGAGTGAAATCTGAGTAGAGCGCTTGTAGTCGCGTCGTCGATGCCTGGTTGAACGGCGGTATCGACAGAATTCGAAGGGACGACGAGGAGGGCGTTGATGGAGTAGAGGTGGACATGAGTGATTCTTGTGGCACACGAGAAAGGGAGGCTGGTCAATGCACAGAATTGGTCGGGCGCGTCTGTGCCGTAGCACCTGACTAACTCTTTGATGGGAATCACTGATGAATTTATGGGGAATTATACAAGTACATTGAGGAGACTACATCATGGTATAATGTAAAGGCATTATACACGAGAATAACTATTTATGGGGATTACTTGTTATCACCAAGGCCCATGGCATTCTTGGCCTTGTCCAACATGGAATCCTATTAGCAGTCAGGTGTCAACCAACCGCCCTTCCACAACTCGAACGGATTAGTACTGACCTGGTTCTGGTTGGAGTTGGAGCTGAACTTGTCGCCCACGGACTGGGTATTGGACTTCTGGCTGTTGGGCTGCACGGACGAGCCCATGTCGTCCATGGCGCCTTTGACGCGGTCACCAGCACTCTCAAAGGTGGACTTTTGGGAATCGGGCTAGATGGAATCGACTAAGTCGCGCATCGACAACGAGCTAATGGTGGCCTTACCTTCATGGTGGAAGAAGCCTTGTCGGTGAAGGATTGACGACCAGTGTCAGACATATTGATAGATGGTATGGGTGGTTGTTAAAGCTAATAGAAACTCTATAAGTTGGAATCTAGATGTTGATTGCTGAGAAAGGCTTGCCTTTGAAAGAAAGTGGGGAATTGTTTGCTTGCCATATCTGTGCAATTGCAAGCTGCTTTTATACTTGTATTTCTGGGGCTCCACTGGCGGCTGACGAGGACGGGTGGAAACAGCTACGCAATGACCGTCACAGGCTGCGGCTGGTAATGACGTCCCTATGATCGCCTGCCGCGGTTCTTGCCCAAACCAGCCATGGCGCCAATCCGACTTCGTCACCCAGCAGGCGTAGCCACAATCCAAGTCCCCCTGGATGACCCAGATTACACGGTCTTAGACCTCCAGCAGGAGATCTACAAGCTTACAGATATATTGCCATCTCGCCAGACCCGTGCGTAGTACACCCGCACTCGCCATTCTTAATACTAAAATCGGCGGACTGATTCTCAGTGAGGTCGGGTTATCCGCCACGCCCATTGACGCTCATCCCCGAGTTGTCTCTCTCTAGTCTTGACCTCAAAGGCGGAGAGCAGATTATCGTACAGGGCAATGCGGAACCATCTGTGCGTGGGGTAGCAGCCTCCCCACCCAGAGCAGTGTCGACTCGGGCCAAGCCAGACACAACTCCAACGCAACCAGCTCAACAGTCAGCTCCAGCTCCATCACCCCAGCGCAAATCGAGCGATGGTCCAGATAGTGTGGAAGTCGACGGGGGATACCTCATACACCGAGTGCGTTGCTGTCCAGTGTCCGCGTAAGCAAGTGCATCGGTTCCTAACTTGAATGTTCCGCCGCATTAGGTCGTACCAGATGACAATTCTTGCCTATTCTCATCCCTGGCCTTGATCTTTGAAGGATCGATAACGCACGCACAGAACTTGCGCAAAGGTTAGGCTTACCCGAGTTATATCCTCATCATAGATCTCATTGCCCGTTCTCAGCTGTCGTCGAAGGCATCAACGCCGACTGGGACACATGGAACGAAGCAATCCTTGGGTAGGCAAACCCAATGGCCTTCTATGACATGTCCTCACAATCCCTCAGAATGCCACGATCTCGGTACATCGAGACGATATCCAAAACGTCGTCTTGGGGTGGTGCCATTGAGCTCTCCATCCTGGCTAAACATTATAACACCGAAATCGCAAGTATCGATGTCGAGACTGGACGCATCGACCGCTTCTCCCCAGGCGAACAAGACGAGTCTGCCGCACCAGGAGAACGCAACCAATGCCTGGTCATTTACTCCGGAATCCACTACGACGCGATTTCATTCTCACCTATGGAAAACGCTCCCGATGAATGGCATCAGAAGCTGTTCCCTATCGTCAGTGCTGTATGCTCGGGTCTGGGAATTTTGCTCACCTTGCTTTAGAAGCCGGAAGCTACAGACCCAATCATACAAGCCGCTAAGAAGTTGGCGGATATCTTGAGATCCAAGAAGGCATTCACGAACACGGCGACCTTTGATCTTAAATGTGAAGTGAGTCGTGTTAGCATTTGAGGGCTCATATGTCCATGTTCTTATACATATTGCAGCAATGCGGTCAAGGTCTAAAAGGAGAAAAAGACGCAAGAGCGCATGCAGAACAGACTGGTCATGTTCGGTTCGGAGAGTATTGAGTAAAGAAACGTAATGGAAGTACATATACCATTTAGGACAGAAAATACCGTGGATGGTTGGTGCAAGCATTTAAAAAGTTGTCTGGATCAGAGTTGGCCAAATTTTGAGTGCCTCGCTGCAGCGAACAATACAAAATAAAGGTTGCAATGGGGGCACCGCGGATCGAACGCGGGACCTTCAGAATACAAGAACGTCTTCAGTCTGCTGCTCTCCCAACTGAGCTATGCCCCCGATGTTCTGTTACGCAGGCGTTACCCTCCGGCCGCGAGGTCAAATAGGACGATGAGCAAATAAATAGTCACGGAACGACAAAAGAAATGGGGGCACCGCGGATCGAACGCGGGACCTTCAGAATACAAGAATGTCTTCAGTCTGCTGCTCTCCCAACTGAGCTATGCCCCCCGATGTTAGGGAACCGTGGCCCTCAGTCACCATTCGCCACGCCGCTGGAAACAGGTTGTGAAATCAAAGAAAGAAAGGGAGACATGTCAGAGAACGTTGTCTACATCCATAATTAGAGGAACGTGATCTGAGGCACCCCATATCTCATCTCGTATCTCGCACTAAAGGTCGAATCAGGGGTCCAGTTCCTCGAGAGAATGCCAATATATAACGCACCTGTTTCACTTTATCGACAAGCCGATTGGTGAGAACGACTGCAGGTCGTACATGCATGAGTATGCAGCCCATTGTACCTGGCGAGATACACTTACACATGTCAAGTCGCCATCCGATTCCTTTCTCCCTGCAGTTGAAACGATAGCCCCAGTATGTGTAGTGTTGGGTCTCTGGATGAAGTTTACGCCAAACGTCCACAAATTGAGCTTTGTTCGGGTCTTCCGGAGATGCAAGTATTTGCTTGAAAGCTGTTGTCTCAATCTCCGTATAGCCAGGCTGTTTGTTCCAGGCTTTCTTTGAGTTGGTCAGATCTGTCAGGTGAGATCATGTCAGAGAGCGGGGACCCCTCTCGAGATTATATTTGAAGCGTACCGATGGCTGTTGGCGCGACGTTTAAATCACCAGTCCATATAACGGGCTTTTTCTCATCGAGCGTGCGGATGTACGGCTCAAAGTGTTTGTTCCATTCTTTCTTAGCGTCCATCGTCTGATCTTCTAGTTAAGAACACGCCTTCTGGTCGAAGAACGGCTGCTCACCTTGAGGTCTTGCCCGGCGTTGACAACATAGGTTGCCACTAGATACGTGTTCTCAAACTCAAGAGTTAAAATCCGCCCTTTAGGGTTGGGATGACCGGGCAAGTTGTTGTCGACGTTTAAGGGCTTGATTTTGGATAACACCGCTGTCCCAGCTGACCAGAGGAGGGAAGTGTGAACTACAAGGGAAATATTAGGCAGAATCAAGGGCGTACCGTATGTTTTCTTGTCAGAGATGGACCAATACTGATGCGGGTACCTTGCTTTCAAGGCCAGGTCCGCCGGTACCTCGTTGACCTGAGTGGCGAAAACTTGTGTGTTAGGTTCAATTGCGGAAAGTGGATCAACTTCATTCTACTTTTGTCTCTGTCAACACGAGAATGTCTGCATCCTCAGCCTCAATATAATGCTTGAAGCCCTGACTTTGGTGTAAGCGGAACAGCGAGGCGTAACGGTACAGTAATTCACCTTCTTATGACTCGCGGCCCAGCCACATATGTTCCACGTCGCAATTCGCAGCGTACCCTCTGCCCGCTTTTCAAATTGGATGGAGACGGGCAGTACCTTATTCTGTGGCTGCCCGTTGTGAGGGATGATTACTGTACTTGACTTTTTGAGTTTCTTTGTTTGACTGGTTGCTTGAGAGCTTTCGGCATCCTCTGTGTCTGTGTCTCGTTCCTCCAGTTTGCGTTTTGATTGGGTGCGTACAGATTTAGGAGGCATTGTCGATAGGTAGATTCTTGGACTCTGGGAGTAAAAGAAGCGCGTTTGGCAAAGACGCGCTGTGTATATGAAGGAAGAGAGCATCTACGCGTTGGGCGCCAGTTACCGACGTTCAAGGACACGTGAGCATCAAACGGAGGTAATATTCCACAAGGAGATAGGCTACCCTATTCGGCCACCCGAAAAGTTGAACTTGTCTTCGGCGTCAGACTCAAGACTCTGGACCTGCACACAACGGCAAGCTGGTGATTGCACCGGTTTCCTTTCTCTTACCCTTTCTTGTGCGTATCTAGACAACCTGTTCAAATCTGTAGAGCTAACAGCCAATAGGGTACTGACTCGGACTGTTTTATAGCATCTCTTATGCCTTGAAGACGCCGCTCACGACTTCTACAAACCCTCACCCTCGCTTTACCCGGTTGCCACAATTTTTCGCTAAATTATCCACTGGCCTACGAGCCATATTGCACCGACCTTCTTTTGAATGCTTGATCATCGCGGATTCTCTGCGTGGATTACGGTAGACGAGCAACCTCTTCCGGAGTACCTTGTCGCCGTGGACGCCGAAACCCATCGAGTGTCGTGCTGGATTCCTGGGGAAGAAGGACAGGTGTGCCTCTATATCTCTTTGGCTTGATATGACTTATCTCATAGCATCTTATGTATGAAGACATTCAAGGTGTGGTGGCACGACCACGGCGGCAAGGTTGATACGTGTTCCTTCGTCGTCCTTGACGGATTGGTAGTCCCTGGACGTTTCCTGTTTGGTGAAGGTGTTGCTTCAAGATCTGGAATTAGAGCCTCTCATATGACGGAAAAACCATTCATATTTACAAAGGTTCCCCAGAAATGTGCGTATTTGCAGCTTGCCCCACTCGTCCGCATATTGATATTTATTTTAGCTGAGCCAGGCGAGGAAACCAACAAGGACGCCGGATCCATCGTTCTGAAAATCAAACGTATCAAGCGGACTGAAGGCAGGCCATCCAATCCTGTGCAGCAAGTGACTTCAGTGGCAGCTTCTGGAAAGAAGCCAGTGGGAGACTTGTGTATTGGGCAAGTGACGACCTTCCTGAAATAATCGATGCTCCCTAACTTTTATTTCTCAGATTCGGTCAGGAAATGAGCACTGCTCTTCAATACCATGCTACGTGGTCTGTAGCTCCATACGACAATGATAAATCTGGAGCCACCAAACCTTCCACCTATGTCTCGTTTGTTTTCCGATATAGATCCTCCGGTAAGGGTTTATTGTCACTCTGGATGTTAACCTCGCTTCTGATGTTTTATATCAGAGTTCTTGGAATCTCAAGGAATTGCTTCCAACATCAAGAGGACAATCGCACCCAAAGTAGGCGATAAGCGACGAATATCTAGCGTACCACAGCTCCAGTCCCTTGCAAACACATTGGCTACTCCGAGTCCCAGTCCGCCCAAACGACCTAGATTGACAGAACCAACTCTACTGACGGATCAAGTAAGTTGTTGGCTATCTTGATAAGATAGTATCTTGCTAATTCTAAACACAGGGTGCACTTGCCACTCGAAGGACTCCTTCGTACAACGAAGGCCGAAGGACCGCCAGTTGGAAGGCTCAGCATCCAGATAATGCTACCTATCAAGGGGTGTTTATCATTCCAAAACCTCAAAGCTACGACGGCGCTACAATCTTGAACACGTTATTGCCCTCTTGCAACTCCAGCGATACTTCCGCCGATGACGACCTGACATGATGAAATTTCTTTCCTGGAAATAAAAGCTTCCCATATACTCGCTCTGCTTCCTCTATCTGCTTTCCTAGTAACGCTTTCGTGTCTCTCTCCCCCGCTATATCCATCGCATCCTGCTATATCTTTCCCTGCTATCGTAATGTCCGTCTGTCCTTTTGCTTTGCTTTCAAGTTGCTTTTTCCCTTGAACTCGTTTTCCCATCATAGCTTTCTTGTTCTGTATACGTATCTAACTACTAGGATGCAGGAAAATATCGTTTGGTATTGACAATATGAATTAATGTTATGCTTTGTTACATACATTGAAACTTTTGACTTGACTTGCATTTCTGTATACCGTGGGCAGGTTTACTAAACGCGATCACGTACGCTCACGTGGTGTGTTTGTTTGTTCGCGATTTCCCTGTGTGATGTGATGGCTAAACTTGGCTCTCTCCGTTCTTTCAATATACTCCGACAGTGACACATCCAAGTCCTTTAATCTATCCGCGCCATGCCCGCCGACGGGGCTGACCAGCAGCCAACTGCTATCTTCCGGAATACAAGAAATGAACCTCTCCGGTTTTGGCTTGATGGTTCAATCCAATCGCGCGATCTAAAGCAAGCATTGAGACATCAGATTGAAGTACGGATCCCATGGTTCTCTCATACCCGTGCTTTACTTACCCACCAAACCTGTAGCGCCATGGTGGTGCTATGGTTGCAAAGGAAGAACAGGCAAACTGCGTGCTTGTTAATAGTGATGGGTTGGATAACTTGCGGCTGAAGAGGACAGCGAACTTGGGCAGCGACAATGCTTTGAAGCGGAGTACCTTGGTCGAACCAGCCGCTGTAATCAAGACCTCTATCAAAAATGGGAGATGGACGCCGTCTACCACCAAAGTCAAGGGCATGAGTGGGCGTGTTGGAAAGTAAGTTTCCGTCGCATCATACCAAGTATTCATATATATTCATCTTCTCAATTTGAACGACAGAAAAAATCCATATACACCTCAAGAAGACTTAAAGCTGGCAAAATATCTGGCTAGTCGAATCCCCGACAAAGACCGTGGGGGAAGAAAAGGAATGAATTTATACACCGATCTCGTCAACTTGGTACACTTTCATCTGACTTTACTGTGGTGATTGTGAACTCATTCGATCAACAGCCAGATGTAGACCCAGAATACAACTGGGCGAAGGCTCACCCTGCGCAGTCCTGGAGGAACAGATATATGAAGCGTGAAGAGCACTTCGATGCATTAATCGAACAGGCAGTACCAACAGTCAATCCCCATCGTGATCACCGATACGAACAAGACAGGATGCATAACAAAATCCGCTATCTGGACACAATGTCCGATAACGAAGAGCAAGAGGAGGAGGAGGAAGATGAGGAAGAGCAAGAACTACAACAAGCAGAGCGTGGACCCCTGCAGCAACCAGAGGAAATGCAAGCATCCAGGCCTTCGACTTCACAACCAACGCGGAATCCCTCACGCCCACCTACCCTAATGCGCGCCGGTATGTCTCAGCGACCCAGCAACCAGCAAGGTGCAGGCCCTTCAGACAACGATACTGAGGTTGCACGAGGGCCTCAAACAACCTCCGGTACGACCCCTCAAGCCAGACGAAGACCTCGGGCTTC